CCCCCTCCTGGATCCTCAACTGAGGGATCATAAGTTAGTGCAAAAACAGTGTGTGCATCCCCTGGGGGATGAAGTGAACCGTGCAAAAAACTCTACTGGACAATACTACTGCACACTATCCCCAAAGATAACATAGATGCCGTAGTATAGATAGTCCACATGAATGGCATAACTTCACATACACATGCAAGTGATATTCTTGTGCTTGTGCTGGTATTGTGCCAATCCCCAAAAGCTGGGGTGCCCCCTCACCTTCCTGCCCAGGCCCCACAGGACCAATGAGCCTTATGAATCAAATATACGATACTCCCAGTCCTGGGTAGTCTTCTTGGTAATGATGGTGGTACTCTTTTCCTCCTTATGTTAGGTTCAATTCCAGCCACTAGTAACACTCCTGCGCATGTAACTCTCCTTACACTCTTACCCCCTTCCTTTTACACTTTTACCCCCTTCCTGTCCAGGCCAATTTTCAGCTTTCAGCACTATCCCACTTTGAATGACAATTGCGCGGTCACGCAACACTGTACCCATATGAATTTTTTATCATTTTTTTTAGACAGATAAAACTTTATTTTGGTGGTATTTATTCACCACTGGGATTTTTTTTTTTTGCTATATAAATGAAATAATGCACAAAGTTTGAAAAAAAAGTGTTTTTTTCTTATAAAATTTTGCAAATAAATAATCTTCCTTCATAAATCTTGCCAAAATGTAGTCAGTTATCTTTCTAGTAAATAAAAAAAAAATAACCCAAATTAGTTTATAACCAAAAATTATAATTTTTCTAAATTTTTTTCACATTTTTATTTTATTTTTTTTATATTATTATTTATGGGGGTTTTTTAACATACCGTCACCCTAGCAGTACAGTGTCACCATAGTAACACTGTACTACTTGTGGGGGGTTATAAAGATTTTTTTTTTACACTGATTGCTTTTACACCTATAAAGGCTACAAAAGCAATAATTTCTCCTTCTCTCTGGCTGCATTCTTGCAGCCATTGAGAAATACTGTGTGATCTGTGATTGGTCACAGCTTGTCACATGGTACATTGTGAATAGCCTTGTACCATGTGATCTCTGTAATCATTCACAGATTTCACATGTAGTAAGCAATGATGTCAGAAGTGACATCTTGTTTACTACTCTTCATGTGATCACTGATTGGCCAATTAGTGATCAAATGATCGGGACCTCACACAGAGGTCCCATGCAGCGATCGGTGTTCACGGGCACTGGATAGCAGTGCTGTGCGCTCCCAGGGAGCACGCACAAGCAGGGAAGCAGGATAGGATGTGTATAAACGGCCACCCGCCCATGCACTGCTACCGTCCGGCCGTTTATATACATGAGACGAACGGGAAGTGGTTAAGGCTTTCTTCTATTTTCATCTGGTGATCTAGCCAGTAAGTCTGTTGTTTTTCAAAACAACAAGCTCTCCAGCAAAATGTATCAGTTAAAAAGACAAAGCATTTACCACTACTGGGTTGCCTACAAGGATCAACTTTTATTTATTCATGTAAAACCTTTATCCCAAAATGCAAAAAAAAAATGTTTGCTGTAACTGCGTATAAAGTATTAGATGGAGTTTGGCTTCAACTTGGTAATGTATCTAAATCTGCTTGTACATCTAACACTCCCCTCCCCCACACTAGCAGTGCTGCTGTTCAAAAGTGCCCCCTGTGCTTCATCCAGAGTAGAGGCACTCTAATACAGGAGTAGACATGTGTGATTCGTTTTGTTATGAATCGAAATTTGGATTCAATTTTTGTTATTTGGGGATTTGGACATATCCAAATTTCCAAAACACAACAGCAACAAATTTCAACAAACCCAAAATAAATAACGAAACAAACTATGCAAATTCAAATTTGGAAATAGAACATATTATAAAAGAATAGAAAAAAATAAAACAGAATAGACCAGAAAATAAAGGAATAGAATATAATACTATATAATAGAAAAGAATAGAATAAAACAGAACAGAATAGAATAGACTAGTCGAATAGAATAGAAAAGAGTAGAATAGAAAAAATTGAATAGGTTTGAAAAGAATAGAATAAAATATAATGAATACAGCCGTCTTCCGAAAGTTGAATCGATTTGAAAATACTGAATGTACAAAATGAATCTGAATATATGAAACAAATTTAGAAAACAAATCATTCTAATATAATGAATATGACAAAACAAAATTATTAACTTAACAAACAAATCGAAAACAAAACAACATTTTCCATCATGAACATCACTATACAGGAGGTTTGTTACTGGCTGGATCACCAGGTGAAAACAGAGGAGAAAACAGGCTAAAAAAGAAAACTAATTCAGCCACCACATCTAATAATTGTTAAGCTGCAATATATTATATTTTAGTTTTTTGGGTTTAATAGGGCGTTAAAAATGTATGAAAATATTTTTTTTTCAGAATAGGTATCCAGATACAGAATGCAGACCCAGATAAATATTTTATTTATTCTTTGTGTCTATTTTTTGACCGAGCTCTGGTTTGTCTGGAGTTTTCTTTAAAGATATTTCACTTATGTGTGAAGTATAATAGAACATCAGATACATACAAGTGATCTCACTTATGACTAAAGTGCTTCTATTCAAACGACTTACAGAAAAATAAAATTAAAGAGAAATCCTCTTCCTCGGTATGGAAATGAGTGTTACAATCCTCAGGTGAGCTAATATTAAACCACCAAATTAAACAAAATGCCATTAGGCTGCAAATTATTTTTGAAAGTACTTTTTGGTAGACAATTATCTATAAATGACCCATCATTTGGGGACTGCTTTTAATTCTTTTACATTAAAAGCATGTTTTTTTTTTTTTCTGTTAGATTCAGAATTAAAAAAAAAAAAAAACTTTTTAAAAACAAACTTTTTTAAAACTATTATAATAAATTGTGCAGTTGAAAATTTCCTCTGGTCTCGCTCACACTAGACTTGGAAAATGAATATATGAATGCCAGAGACGTTCTAATTGTTGAGTCTTTTGTATATTTGCAATACATCTATGGTGAATCACACAACTCAATTATGATCCGTGAATTGATTGCACGATTCCCTGCAGGGTGGACAGATCTGGATACTTATAGTCAGGAAAATTGAAAAAATGTATAATTCACAGATTCTCCTGGTTTATGGATCAGTTTGCTAATCAATAACTCATAAATGTTTTTGCACACCTTTGTTGCCTTATTCAATATGGAATTGATCATTTTAAAGTGTATCTAAACCCAACAATAAAATGTAATATATTGCAGCCTACTAGTTCTCATATGTGGTGGTATCATATGTTTTCCTTTCCCAGATTTTTTTTGTTTATTTTCACCTGGTAATCCTGCCAGAAAAGCATTTCCTTTCCTTTTGTGATAGCACAAAATCACTGCACTGTCACCATAGAGCAGGAAGTGTGTTAGGACTACAGAACACACCTCCCCCTCTCCATATCTTCTTCACATTAAAGGGGGCGGTGTCCTTTAATCCACAGAAAAGAACTGGGAGGGCTAATAACATTGTTACAAGGTCACTGAATTCCTGGCAGGATCAACAGGGATTTTTCTGTACTTGCAGAAAATGTTTTTGAGCTGAAAATAGAAAGTGACTGTAACCACCACACATATGGACTGGTAAGCTCCAATATATTACATTTTTTTCTTGAGCTTAAATATACTTTAACTGTGGGAAAAAAAAGTAAAATGCAGGATTTTTTGAATGGGTCCTATTAACAGGAATATATAGTATTCCTTTAGATTGTAAGCTCCACGAGCAGGGCCCTCCTATTCCTTCTGTACTGAAATGTATTGTAATTGTACTGTCTCCCTTATATTGTAAAGTGCTGCGCAAACTGTTGGCGCTATATAAATCCTGTATAATAATAATAATAATAGTATTTATATATTTAGGACTACAAAAAACAGTTTTTAAAAACACATTATTGGCAGATAAATTTAACATATTGTATGTGAATATTTCCTTTTAACAGCCAGCAGGCAGAGCTCTAAGGTTCTTTCGCATCAAGTTTTTGTTCAGGTGACGCATTGCATGTGATTGACATGCGTTTTCATGTGTCACGCATAGTGCAGCCCATTCACTTCAATGGGCTGCCCTATATGCATTTGTCACCCAAAAGAAACTCTTGATGCTTTGTGGGCAACAAGCTTAGAGTGATTTTTAAATGCACATTTTGCTGTGATTCCAATTCTCTGGAGCGACAATCATGGCAGAATCGCAGAATTAAGAATAATGGCACCCAAACAAGTGTTGCATGTCTATATAGGAAAAGGACAGGGGAGTGACTCGCCGTCACCATCTACCCTGCTTGTATATTCAAATATCTACACACTAAATTCGATTAGACTAATTAGAGAAAGAGAGTTCAAGTAGATAATGAAAAAAGGGGCAGGGAGTCCGGATACAAAGTCTGCACACATTAATGCATTAAGCTACATAAAAATGTGTTGTTTTTTTATCAAGGTCCCTTTAGAGTATATTTGATATTAAAGAATATGTTATCCCAATATTTCATATTCCTCATAAGTGTCTGTTATACGATGTACATGTGCTAAAAAGTATCCTCTTCTCTTTGTCTTGTTTAAATATGTGAAATACCTGATGATCCTGCCAGTCTCCCTACTCTGCTATTTCAAACTGACCACGCTAGGCATAGAAGAGCACCTATGTCAGTGTGGTCAGTTTTCTAGCTGTGCTGGGAGAACAGCCTGCCTCTCCTCCAATGGTCAGACTTGTGCTGACATGCCCAACCCCCCTCCCCGCACAACATTTACTGGGAAGATTAGTGTACTGCTCTTTCTCCTCCCCCTTCTCCAAGCACCTTATGCAAATGATAACAGCTGTGATGTGATCACTGATAATAAAAGAAAAAAACATATATTTATCATAAATTTTTTTTTTATATACACATTCTTTTGCCTTTCATTTATTTTTTAAACTAAGAAGGTTGTTTCATAAGGTAAGGTTCACATATACAGTAAACCAGGGCTTGAAATATCCACTTGCCTGCTCGCCAATGGCGAGTGGAAATTATGGTGGGGGCGAGTGTGTCCCCCAGGGCCGTCTTGCTGAGCAGGCTCGGAACTCAGGCCGGATCTGTCATTGGCACTGGGAGCCGTCAGACTGCTCAATAGCTGAGTGCAGTGAAAGCAAAGCAAGGAGTGTGTGCTGTGCTCTCTACGCCCCCCTCCCCTCGAGTGCAGTACCCAGATCTGTGAGTGAACAACGAAGTACTGCAACTTTTTATAGGGGGGGGGTGTATGTGTACATGTGTGTGTCTGTGTATGCATGTACAATTGTACATGTGTCTGTGTGTATGTACATGTGTGTATCTGTACATGTGTCTGCATGTATGTACATTTGTGTGTGTGTGTACATGTGTCTGCGTGTATGTACATTTGTGTGTGTGTGTGTACATGTGTCTGTGTGTGTATGTACATGTGTGTATTTGTGTGTATGTACGTACATGTGTCTGTGTGTACATGTGCCTCTGTGTACATGTGTATGTATGTACATGTGTCTGTGTGTATGTACATGTGTCTCTGCGTGTTTATTTCTGTGTATGTACATGTATCTGCGTGTATGTGTGTCTGTACATGCCTGTCTGTGTATACATGTGTAAAATGTGTGTGTGTGTGTCTGTATGTGTGTGTGTGTACATGTGTCTCTGTGCTTGTGTGTATATGTTTCTGTGTGTATATGTACATGTCTGTGTGTGTGTACAGGTGTCTCTGTTTGTGTGTGTTTGTTGGTGGCGAGTAACTGTAAGGCCTGGCTAGTAGCTCAGGACTTGAAATTTTAAGCCCTGCAGTAAACCATGTATGTATTCACTGATATACACTATAAGTCGACTTAAAAGTCAAAAAGGTAAAAATTGCAAAGAGGCAGGATTTTTATTGCAGAAGAGATATGCAGTAAAATATACTTACCTGCCTTTTTTGCAATCCCCTGTAGAATGTATACTGAGCTGCACATGCACAGCTCAGAATACATTCTAGCACACTCACTGTATTCCAGGATGAATGCACATGTGCAGAAGTGTTGTCACTTCACATCATCCAATCAAGATGACCGAAGACCGTCATCTGGAAAAGGCTGAGGACAAGATGCTGGCACCAGTGAGGGACCACACAGGCGTTGGACCATTGGAACAGAGGTAAGTACCTGTGCTTTTAGTTTGACCCTAAATTTTTCACTGAAACTTTCACTTTCAGTGACACTTGTTCATAACTAGGGACGACTAAAATTAAGAGTTTTTTTCTTTCATTTCTTCAAAATGTCTTTGAAGATCCAGTCATTGTGGTAAAATGTGGCAATTTTTGTGAAATGCACTGGAGTCAATATGGAAGGCAAACTAAAAGAGGTGCGGTGGGCTCTAAATGGCTCATTAAGGTTGCAAAACCTGTTTCTGGTGCCAGAAAAAGGCTTCTCATTAGCCTCATCACTTTCCATTTTTTTTCACAGAAAAAAAAAATCAGTGAGGAAAAAAAATGGAAAATAAAAAAAATATTTGTTTTCTTGTACTGAATCATTATTTATTCAATTTTATTTGGATAGCAAGGAGCATGATCAACTGAGGATGTCTCTGGGTGAATTCTATCCGTTAATGTAGTAACAGCTTGCCGGTGTGCCGCCAGCCTCTGTCCTGGGTTTCCCATAAAAGAGATATTTTGAAATAGCATGTGAGTATGCTAGTCTTCTCACATTTTGGCTTTTCCATTTTACTTTAGGTCATACCCCTGCTAATCCCAATTGAAGGTTCTGAGGAAGCATGTATGTGAAACGCGCCAAACCACAGTACAGTGAAAAAAAAAAACAGGAAAAAAAGAAGAAAAAAAGTATCTGGAATGCATCTGGAAATGCCTCAAAAATGCAACAAAAAATGCACCGGAACTCATCAAAAATGCATTAAAAATGTGCATGCAGGACGCATCCGGAATGGATCTGGAGTGCGTTTTTTGAGGTAGAGACCAATTTTAACCTCTTCCCATCTGGCTCATGATGATAAATGGCCTGACTGGAGCATTGCCGATGCGGGGGGGACATTTCTAAACGGCCCCTGCATCCATTGCCTGTGATCGTTCTCTGGGAGCGCTCAGCACCGCAATCTGTGAACAGAGATCGCTGAACAGGACCGCTGTGTGAGATCCTGATTCATGTGATTACTGATTGGCCAATCAGAGATCACATGAACAGTAGTAAACAAGATGTCACTTCCTGATATCATTGTTTACTACTTGTGAAATCTGTGAACGATCACAGAGGTCACATAGTACAAGGTCATTCACAGCAATCATCCAGCTAGGAGTCTCCTCCCAACCAGGAAGTGCTCTGAGTTTCCTATACCTACCTGGCCAGTGGCAGTGCTGCACAGTCCCTGGACTGGATTCCTCTGCTACAGGGTTCCCTGGATGTCTTGATTTCTTATGCTCTGCATATCTCCACACATTTACTTCATGTGAGTCACTTGGCCTGCATGTTGGAACTATGGATTGGACCACGATATGGCCATGAATCTTACATGATGGCCACTTCTGATCAGACTTTCCTAGACTGTAGATGGGTGTACCAGGGTTCCACTGGTTTCTGACAGATTTGGGCTGATGGTGCCCCTGAACATCTGCCGATTGTGAAGACAGCTACGTGGAGCACTACCTAAATCTTGAGGAGAGCCTGGCATTAGGAATCCATCCATTATTAGTTTACCAAGAGCTTCAAGATCACCGGGGGGTCATTATTCTTGGTTCCTTGGATCACTATTCCATATTAGGAGATCAGGAGGCCCGGTCCATGAAAATTTGCAGTTGGCTGTCTGCATGACCATAGAGCGCTTTTTGACCACCTTAACCAGGGTCAATAATTTCATGTGAGTGAGGAATTCACTTATTGCCTACACGAGGTGGAAAACAAAAATCTTTTGATCTACGGGATATTAATTTATGAGGCTGTCACTCACTATATGTTTAATATATTTTGCTGGAGACTTTAAGTCACTTTATGTTGTTGTGAGATTATTTTAGTATCATTTGTCACATGTTTTATGGATCTAGTGCCTACCTATTCACAATTTTATTTCACATAAATAATAATATTAGAAAAACAAATGAAAACTTTTTTTTATAAACTGATTTGGTTTTTTTTTTTTTACCAAAAAATAGCTAAATACATTTTGGCCAAGATTTATGAAGAAAGATGATTTATTTGCAAACTTTTATAAAAAAAACACTTTTTTTTTTTAAAATATTTGGTCTTTTTCATTTATATAGCAGAAAAAAAATCCCAGTGGTTAACAAACACCACCAAAAAGTGTTATCTGTCTCAAAACATTACTAAAAATGTAATATGGGTACAGTGTTGTATGACCTCGCAATTGTCATTCAAAATGTGATAGCACTGAAAGCTGAAAATTGGCCTGGACTGGAAGGGGGTGAAAGTGTCCAGACTTGAAGTGGTTAAAGGGATGCTGAGACTGTAGCTTTTCTTATCACAACACTAGACTGATCAGGTAGTTGTAATGAAAGCATACCCTACTACTTAGCAGTCAGTTTGAGAAAGGGTATGGCAAGGCCTATGTCATCATCAATAGAACAGAAGCAGATCACAATCTCCAACAAAGCCTATTAAGATCCCTGCAATGTATATTGTTCACCTAGAGCTCTGTTAGGTAACCAGTAAAATCCAACAGTCAGCTTTCAATACCGAAGACAGAAAGTCCACTCTGATTGATCTTTTTTTATATAGTCTTTTGCATATTCTCCCTGTACCGAATGCTTTCCAAAAGTCACATCACAGATTGTAAAATACAGTATGCATGCTTAGAAAGCAACCTACAGAGATGCTTAAAATATCCAGAGATGATTTGTGAGCATAACAAATGTGGACTATGAAGCTTTTAAGAGATGGCATGATACCAGAGTACATAATGGCCCTTTGTAATGGAGGAACAATGGTGTATTATAATGGTAAGTCAGAAGGTCATAGTGCGTCCTCACTTGTTCTGCAGAGGAATCTAAGCTTAGCATCCTCTGCTATGTTTGGCGGCTCTGCAGGCAATACTGATGTAATGTGATAACTAAAGCAAGATATGGCAGGTTATACGTCTCTAAGAGCCAGTTCTCACAAAACACATGTTGTAGTGTCTTTAAGACAAATAAGCTGCAGTTTAATGATGGGGCTAGCAAATGCCCCCTCCAGACCACTTCCATCTTCACAATGGTGATTGGCAAGTATAGAGTGCCCTCTATTGGAGCTATGCATACTGCAGCAATAGATGTGTATGGTTGAGTGTACATACCAACTCTATAGCTGCCTAAAATCCATGCCCAGGGGCAGACTAACAACTCATGGGGCCCCCAGGCAATAGGGGATCATGGGGCCCCTGTGTCCTTGCCCAAACTAAAAAAAGCCTATGAAAAGGTACCAGGGGCATCTCATGGGGCCCCCTACTGACCCTGGGCCCTCGGGTTTCCAAATGGTCAATCCGCCCCTGTCCATGCCCATGCATTTCATATGCAGGGAAATGCAACTCTTAATCCAGTGGTGTATTTAGGCTTCGTGCTGCCCTAACACAAAAATCGGCCCCCCCCCCTGACATTGACCAACAACAGCCCCACCCACCCTCGAGAGAGCCTCCCTCAACTAGCTTCTCATCTGGGGCTGCTGTGCTAAATTGGCAGTTTCTGGGCCCCCTTGCCCAGGGAATACCCCCAGTGCAGCTGGATGAAGAGAAGGATTAATCTGGGGTCTGAGGAGGAAAAGGTCTGAGGGTATGCATTTAACATATTGTATGCATGTTATTTACCTATATAAGCCTCCCTTGTGTAGATATCCAAATGACCCGTGACTGCTGCTAGGTGTTGCCATCTTGACTATGATGTCAGCAACCCCAGCAGACTCAAGGCTGTCACTCAAGTGACACTCTATAGTGCAGTACCTCCAGCACTGAATGTATGTAATGTCAAGGAGTGCTAGGCTGTGCTGAAAGGTCTGGCTGCTGGGGGGTCTATTGTCACTGATGCAGATCTATTATTGTGTGGTGGTCTAATGTTGCTGAAGGGGGATTTATTGCTGCTGGGGGTCGATCGTTGCTCAAAGGGATTGACTGTTGGCTTGCAGGGGAACCGCTTTACTGCTTTTATTGTTATCATTAAATTCCATGCAAATTACTTAGCACTGATACTCGGCTCGGCTCTGTACTCTCTAAAAGGAATTGTAGAGGAAGGTAAGTAAGGGGTGGAGCCAAGGGATGATGCCAAAGATGGGAAGGGGGGATGGAGACAATAAGTGGCTCAGAAGGTGGAAGTTCCTGCACCTATTCTCTGAGAAAAAAAAACCCTGGGTACCACTAAATATAAATTTCATCATTTCCATAAAATGGTTTGCATCAATGAAAAGATATTTCTGAAAAGAACATATAAAATGAGGGTGGTATGCTTTGGGCATCATTTTTAAATACGCAGTTGACTTTCTAATCAGCGATCCTAT